TTTGTCTTTTTTTACTGGGAGCGAGCTCCCTTCCGTTCTCTTCAGAGGTGATGGAGACTTACCAAGATGTCAAGGCGTTCTTGTAGACAGCAGCTCTCTTACAGGTTAGAGGGAAATCTTTTCTTGCTTTGGAGCATGAGGTGGGGGGACTTACCTTTTGATTTTGAAGGCTGGCAGGACCAGATTTATCATTCTGAAGCGGGGGGAGCTCCGCCCTTTCTTGAGCGTATGCTCTTCTCTGTCTGTCTTTTTGAAGAAATAAACGGGATAGTCAAGATCTCGATCTTTCCCTTACCCAGACAGAAAGAGGGGTCTTCCGGGTAAACGGAGCTCTTTTCTTGCTCGATGGCTTCTGCGAGGCTCGTCTGTTTTTGGAGATGGAGCTCTCTTCTTTCTCATGAACTTGGACGAAGCTCTTGGTTTCTTCTGGTCGAGGAGGAGGTAACGGACTTGTCTGTTTGGAAGCTAGGGGAGCTCAGTCATTGTGTAGCCGCCGACTGAACATCACAGTCCACGAATCACGCGGATACATCCGGCTTATTCTAAGCGCAGGCATGGTGCTGTGCATCGAGCTACCATAATCACGGTTGGTTTTCCTTCTTGCTGATAGCCCGTGACTGCACATCACAGGAAGCACATAATCTCGGCACAGTTCTTTTTCTTGGTATGCTGTGTGTAACATGGTTCGATGAAGTTCTCTGTGTTACATGGTAGGGCGTTCGCAAATGTTGATCCTAAACAAGTTGTTCCGAATCAGGCGTGCAAAGTGTTGTCGTCCTGATGGAATGCTTTCCAGCCACTGACTGAGCGTCACAACCAGTACATATTCTCCTAGAACTTGGTATGTGGGCTATCATGCGAGGATATTTGTCAGCATGTGTGTGTGTATATTATATATATATATATATAAACAGGTGTGGGTGCGTACCGTATGGCCCTTCCTGTAATATAGCACACGGGACATGTCACATCACACGTGAAGGTTCCTGCCACATATATATATATATATATATGTATATATATATATATATACATATATATATGTATATGTATATGTATATGTATGTATGTATTTGTTATTATACAATATGCATATGTGTATACATATATATATATATATATATATATATATATATATATATTAAATATTCGTATATATATATATATATATGCATATTGTTGTATAGTTAATGTATTTTATATGTATGTGTATATATATATATATGCTAGCCCCCCCCCCCAAGACCAACCCTGAATTCCCTAAATTCCCTAAATTCCCTAATTCCGTACCCCATGTGTTGGATTTAGGGATTTCCCTATTTCCCTAAATTCCTTAAATTCCCTAAATTCCCTAAATTCCCTAAATTCCCTAATTCTGACCCCCATGGATCAGATTCAGTGGTTTCCGTTCATGGGTAGGGAATTTAGGGAATTTAGGGAATTTAGGGAATTTAGGGAATTTAGGGAATTTAAGGAATTTAGGGAATTTAGGGAATTTAGGGAATTTAGGGAATTCCCCAAATCCAACACATGGGGTAGGGAATTAGGGAATTTAGGGAATTTAGGGAAATTAGGGAATTTAGGGAATTTAGGGAATTCCCTAAATCCAACACATGGTCCGGGCTGGGAGTCAGGAATGTTAGGGAATGCGCTAAAACCAACACATGGGGCTGGAAATTAGGGCATGTAAAGACTTTAGGGATTTAGGGAGTCTGCAGGAACTCACGCATTCTGTAAATTCGAGGCATGGAAGCAGTGATGAGAGAATTTAGGGAACTCGACCTCGCGACGTCGCCGGTTGACGTGTCTGTGCAACTGATACTTGTAGTAATATTGATATTATTTTGAAAAATTTGAAAACTATAATACTCATACGAGTACTAATACTTATCGTAATACTACTGGTGAAACTGATAGTATGCTAGTCTGAATACTGATGTTCCCAAGAATACTTGAAATCATGTACATTGTACGAATAGTCTTGATGCGAATACTAATATACATACTATAGCTAGTATTATCGCTAGTATGAATATTGGCTATGCATATTCGTGAAATTACTCATTTTTGGAGTACTCATATTCATGCTAATATTAGCACTAAGGCTAGTGCGAACGTGCATAATAACATGCTCATACATGAATGTTAGCATTCGTATTAATATCAGCATTGGTATGTTTTTCAGTAGTACTAGTAACTCATACGAAGAGTAACCTCAAGTTTCATATTCCGACGAATACCAACGCATGTTTTGTTCATACTAACTTTAATTCTACTACTAGTATCTACTCCTAATATTGAAAAAACTGTACTAATACCAATTTTAGAATTGATGTGAACACGAACTTTAATGTTCTTGCCAATACTAGTATGCATAGTAATATTAGTTAGCATTAATGTATAGGAAAACTAATGTTCTTACGAATACTAATAATCATGTTCCCCTTTTATATTCATATAAGAATCGTCATGCCTAGATACGTACTAATGCTAGTACTCATGCTAATACGAGTATTAATACCAATACAAGCATAGGTATGAATATTCCTACGGGTATTTATGCTCATGTTCTTAACAAAATTATTCTCAGTACGAATACCGACATTAATAGTCTCTTTAGAACCATATTGATATTAATATGAGCACTAATACTTCGGCTAGTACGAACATGCATAATACTAGCAAAAAATTTGTGCTCATACAAATATAGAAAGATTATTACATACTCATATTAATATCAATACCAATATGAATTTACAAACATCATATTAATGTCAATATCGTTTTTGTAATGTGTACTAAAGAATACATCAGAATAAGGCACAAGGAAATGAATGCATCAGATTGTTAAAAACTCAATGTTTCATTTACCGGTTATAGTATTATACTAATATACTAATATATTAATATACTAATATACTGAGAAACTGATATACCAATAAACCGTTGTTACTAATATACCAATATACGAGTATACCCAAAATTTTTTTAATGAATATATATGTTTTGTTTATATACCAATATACTGAATATACACATATGAATACTTATACACATAATGTACTAAGACCAAGTTTTTAAAGCCCAGCCCACGTCTAATATTAATACGAACACTAACACAAACACTAACACTAACACTGCTATAGACATACATTAAATTAAACTGGAGCACTAATACTCATATTAATATTAAGACTAACACTGACGTTGACACTGACACCAGCATCAGCACTAACAGGAACACTAATCAAACGAACAGTAATATTGGACAGATACCAGCAGCATTGTTAGAACTTCTAAAATTAGTAATGACACAAAACTAATAATAATGCTAACGCTAGCAAAAATATTAAGGTTACTGCTCACAATAATTGAGGTTCAAACTTAGAACAAAATTAAGTCAAGACCAATGTTAACACTGTTTTTTAAGACTGAAACTAATAATAAGACTTTGACAAGATGACAACTCATGTTAATATCAATACCAATATGAATTTACAAACATCATATTAATGTCAATATCGTTTTTGTAATGTATACTAAAGAATACATCAGAATAAGGCACAAGGAAATGAATGCATCAGATTGTTAAAAACTCAATGTTTTCATTTACCAATATGTACGGTCATAGTATTATACTAATATACTAATAAATTAATATATTAATATACTGAGAAACTGATATACCAATAGACCATTGTTACTAATATACCAATATACGAGTATACCCAAAATTTTTTTAATTAATATATATGTTTTGTTTATATACCAATATACTGAATATACACATATGAATACTTATACACATAATGTACTAAGACTAAGTTTTTAAAGCCCAGCCCACGTCTAATATTAATACGAATACTAACACGAACACTAACACTAACACTGCTATAGACATATATTAAATTAAACTGGAGCACTAATACTCATATTAATATTAAGACTAACACTGACGTTGACACTGACACCAGCATCAGCACTAACAGGAACACTAATCAAACGAACAGTAATATTGGACAGATACCAGCAGCATTGTTAGAACTTCTAAAATTAGTAATGACACAAAACTAATAATAATGCTAACGCTAGCAAAAATATTAAGGTTACTACTCACAATAGTTGAGGTTAAAACTTAGAACAAAATTAAGTCAAGACCAATGTTAACACTGTTTTTTAAGACTGAAACTAATAATAAGACTTTGACAAGATGACAATAATTAATAAAGGATGAGGCACACAAACTGGACTCTGTCTTTTACCACTCCGACAAGACGCGCCGAGAGTGTAAATGGTGTCCATAAAACTGGACCCTGTTTTTTACCAGTCTGTCAAGAGGCGTCGAGAGTGCAAACTTTGTACGGGAACACAAACAGCATCGGTATTTACAGTGGTTTCGGCTCTTATTCATGACGCTGTGAAGACAGTAATGAGCAGGACAATGGCCGAGGTTGGTCCTGGAGGGGGGGGGGTTACCATATATATATATATATATTAATATTACATCCCTGTAGCTATATAACATATAATACACATGCCATATTAATACTTCTACAGAAAACAGTATACACATATATATATATATATCATTTTATATCTTATATTTTCTCAACTATATATCAGAGATCAGATAAGATGTGTCATGTACTATAACTTTTTATAGTTTTACATGTAGATACATAAATGTATACACATATCTCTAGACATATATATATATATATGTGTACACATATGTATATTATATATTACAAGAATGTCCACGCAAAGTACTTCGGGGCATTGCAAATCTTCTGAAAATAGACGAACTCCCTAGGCGAAAACACTATTCTGCAAGTTTCCCCCTCAGTAGTGCCACTTCTACACTACTCGTCTGTGCAACTGGCCCGAAGCCTTGCAAAAAACACTACATTTAGCATGTAGCTTCCTATCATGACGCGCTCCTGTACCCAAAACAACACGCACGCCTATGCAAGGCGGACCTAGCGCAAGAGCCAAGTTTCCCAATTCCGGTGACCAGTCCACACCATGTCGGACCCCCACCTTGGCTTGGAGCTGCGCAGGAGCATAGAGCTCTGCGCCCTTCTCTGCCCGAGTTGCAAAGGGCCACAGAGCCAATCCCAGTTCAGTCCGAGCAGCATTTGCACGAAGCGGTTGTGATTGGGTTGGTGGAAGCTCAGCGTGGCACCCAGCAGCAGGGACTGTTGAGGGCAGCCACAGAGAAGCCACGTCAAAAGAAAGCCCCGAGCCCACCTGTGCCTACCGCCTATACAAGCAGCAGCTTAAACGGTGTGCTCCCCGCGTCCCTGCCTGGCAGCGGCTGCCGAGACGGAAGTGACCGGCGTTGCAGCTCGCGCAGTGGTTGTGGTGCTGCGACGTGGGCAGATTGGTAACGGTCCAATGCTGCACGGTGGGAGGTAGTGCAGGAGCGGGCAAGACATTTCGGGTCAACAGGTTCGATTGCATAGGGAATTGATATGAGGGCAAACAAATGATATGAGGCCTTGGGTCATAAGTCAAAGAGGGGTGATAATTGTGAAAATTGGGGGCCAGTGCCCTCCCTGCCCTGCGGCAGCTCGCTGCTTTGCAGGGGCTTTCTCTCTCATCTTGGCCCGCTCTCATCTGCAAGGGACCTCATGATGCGTCCACGTTCCTTCAAATTTGAAAGAACCGCGCCAAAAGCTGGAAATTCCACCCACTTGTCGCACAAGGACCCTCGAACCACTAGACCAAGATGTACAATTCAGGCCGAGGTGGCCCCAAAACATGCCGGCTGCACCCGACGATGTTGCTGGGCGACGCAGGTGCCGCAGACACGGTGATGGCCGCCCGTGCAGGTGAATGGGTGGCAGTGGTGGCCGTGCAAGTAGTAGCCATGGTTGCATGCGCGGCAGTGATTGTTCACCTGACGCACAAACGCACCGCATTCCCTACTCTCCCCATGTTTCTCGGCCCTGGGCACCCGACATGTCGGTGCCATGGATCTTGGCATTGACTGCAATGGCCACCACCACCGGTATGGCAAGGCTTGATCTGGCAACAGCACGCGTTGACGTCTAGGACTTTCTGTGTGCTTTCGCAGAAGACCATCCGTGAAGCGACGTGAGCTCAACCCCTCGGCTGGGCCTCGAGAACATGGAAGAATTCCCTCAGTGCGCCGCAGTCCGTCTCTTTCTCTCCCGCTCTTTCCGCTCCGGATCTCCACAGCATCTCTTTCTCTCTTCGGCCGGCCTGCTGCACTCTTTCCTGACAGGCGCTGAGAGTCTGGGGACCCGGCGAGCCCCAATTGTGGGGCAGCGCATCAGGATCCTACGGAAGGACTGCAATCAGCTGAGCACATGCCAAGCCATGTAGATTCCAGCTGTCGAACCCGGCACTGCGTAGAAGCTGTGGGAACAAACGAAAGCCTTGTGACCCACTGTTGGAAAACCCGACAGAGATCCCTGCGCTCCCTGTGAGGGCTTTGGCAACCATCGCCGTGGTTGCACATCTTGATGAAGCCTTGTCATTGCATTCAGGAGTTTTCAAAGTCCTGTATGAAGCCCATGAATCCTATAAACACGTGAAAGGACTGTACCCCTTCACAATCGCTTGGCCCAGTCACGGTTCTTCCAAGGGTTGTGCAAAGCGACGCGGCCGTGGCCTCAAGATGCGCAGGGCAGAGCTTGGGGCCCTCATGAAGAAGAAACACCTCCGAAGGATCCGTGCCGTGCGCATCGACGACCGTGAAGCGTTCGGAATCCCAGCCACCAGGCCTCGGTTTCTTCATGCCAAGGTGAACCTTTCCAGGCTGCGCCCGCGCTTCAAACTGCTTGTTGCCACCAGAGGGCAGCTGATGCCAATTGCGATGTGGCGAGCGAATCATGTCCTTGGGCTACAGCAATCGGGGGATGAAGTTCAATGGGTGCACACGCCACGATCCTGAATCTTTCGAGGCTTCGGAGTGTTATGCTAAATTCTCTCCCCCGAAACATTCCCTTCCGCACCGAATCCGCGTAGCTTCCACACTCTTTCGCGCGCAAAAACAACAACACATCAACATTACTCGGGCACAGAAGTATCTGCGAAATCTGTAGAATCTAGAAAGACTCTACTACAAGTAACAGGTTCAGAAGGGTCCTGTAAGCAGGCAATACAGCTCTAGTTGCCTTGTTGGGGCATGTTTGCCTTTTGCGCGCCTTTCGCACACCTTTCGCGCAAATCACCAGTACACTTCAGTAACACAGACATTCCGAAGCTCTTGCTGTCGTGACTCCTGCCAGAAATGCACTAGAGGATGTTCAGCAGAGATCTTTACTTGGCATGTGTTTCTAGATTCGCTATGACTTGCACCTTCCGGTGTCCAACTCACAAACTTAAGCTTCCTGCGACAGATTGGAGCAGGGAGCAATTCTACGTCGTCGACCAGTCATCTTGACGAAGCGGTTGCTGGACGCGCTGTGCAGCGCGACTTGGCCGTAGCCGGCATCCACCACCTCGGCAGGAACTGTTGCGAGACATCAGTCCTCCCAGAATGGGATGCATGTGGCCGTTGCTGAGGGCTCAGGGGAGGTTTAGACAAATGTCTCAGCCTCAGTTTCTATCCACATACACCTTGTCCAGGCTCAAAATCATCGTATCAAAAGCTCTTCGACAGCCGCAACCAGTTCCTTCAAACACCTTCCGGTGCATTTTTGGAATGAGTAGGTACCACTCAGCATCTGCGTAGGCTTCCTGAATACGCGACAGTCAGCTCGCGGGTACGAAGAGGCTCTGAGGGCCTTCAGACAAGCCAAGCCAACACCCGGCGGCATGAAGAACGCCGAAACCAGAAAGCCTTGAAGGCCCCCTCACCCCCTAAGCTCCTGTGTCGAGGCACCCGGAGCTTCTCCCATTGCCAGCCAGAGGGGAAGTGGTGGAGATGCTTCCTGCACAGAATCATCCAGGACCACAGAAACAACGAAACTCCGAAAGTATTCTGGCGATCTGAGAGAGTATCGCACCGCTGTCTAGAGTCTAGTAATCTGAGACGAACTACTGGTAGAGAGGTCCTGTGGCTCCGTTTCCACTTAGGGCCCTCAAAATGTCTCGGTCCTCGGCGAGCCGTCCATGCGGCCGTTGTGTGCGTTCATGCGCATGAAGCGGTGGTGCCCGGCGTTCCTCGGCTGGTTGAGGCTGCATGCGGGCGTGCCTTGCTGCCTGAAGGCAAGCAGGTCACCAAAGCGCGACGATGGTGCCGTGCCGCAGAAAAGCCTGAAGAAGGGCTCCAAAAGATTGGCATCCAGGTGCTCCTGCTGGTCTCCGGACTTTGCACTGCGGCCGGGGCGCAGAGACGGGTTTGAAGCGCTCCCAGCCCCAGTTCCACGGCAGATCCTTTCGAGGTCTGATCACGCAGGAATAGGAGATTTCAACACCACAATCCATGCACTGAAGCAGCCCAGTCCCAAGAGTTTCGATGAGAGCTGGTGTCCTTAAGGTTCGTGCAGGGAGTCGTCTGCAGAAACAGACTGGCACGCCAGTGCATCTTAGCATCCATGTGATGCCGATGTGGCATCCGCATATACCTGTTGTGGACGTCGCAGTGAAGAGCCACCTGCAAAACTTCGTGTCTTCATCCCAATGCGAGAAGTCTGTTTGTTCAGGTGCAGGCGTGCATACTCTCACACACCCACACATGTGCATGTCATTTGCATCTCGTATACGCATACGTATACATATGCATGTACATATGGATGCACATATACTACATACACATTGACTACTAGACATGTACATAAACATAAGCTTAAACATATACAGATACGTATAGATACATATAACCCTACACATAAATACACATATGCATACACATAGACACGAACATACGCACATATGTAGAAATAGACGTAGACATAGACGTGGACATCGACATGGAACAGGCATAGACATAAACAATCAGAGCCATATCCACATGCTGCTCATATTGTATATACCCATGTGTACATACACATACACAGAGAGAGAGCATAATTTCATGCCGAGTAACAACAGTAAGCAGAGATGCAGATACGATCGACTATGCATTATAATGATGTATTAATGATGTATGTTGGGCCGAGCGAGCAAGTGAGGGAAGCGGGACGAATTCATAACCTAGAGCACTATTCTGGAATCAATCCGTACGTAAACATGTCCTTTCGTGAAGTCTGCATGACAGGAATATGACTGTGACGTCGCTGCAGTACTCCCGGACGTTACGAGCGGAGAGATTAACAGAAACGTTGAAAATTGATCAAATGTAGAGTTGGCTTCCTTGGCCTCAAGGTCACATGTCGGCAATTGCACCGCAAAGAGATAGCTGTAGATGCATGATGCAATCGCTCTCACCGGAAAGCAATTGTAATGAGAGCCCCGAACAACTTCAGAATTGCTGGCCGGTGTGTGACATCGACAAGCACGATGCGACAATGAAAACTCATTATGACATGTTCTCGGCGGCTGGCAGGGCCTGTTGGAGCTACCATAGCCTTGACGGCGTGGCATTGAGACATACCAGCCAGCACGAACCGATGCAAAGGAGTCTGTGCCCGAAAAGTGTCGAAAAAACCGTGTGATGTGTATGTGTATATATATATATACTTACTAATACATACATACACATTATATGGCACCCCCCAAAAAGCTAAACCCTGTCGACTGGAACATTCCAGCTGGAAAATGCTTTGGTTTTTGGATTGGAGAAAGCCCAAGGAAAGCCAGGAAAGGGTTTAAAACAAGCAGCCCGCTAACGACGTGCTACCCAAAAAACTCCTACTAAGGTGCTGTGCTCCGTTTTTGTCGTAGCGCAGACCGCGCCCGGCCGAGCACCCTATACCCTGAACCGGTGCCGGGAGGGAGCCCGAACTGGGGACCCTGGCACTGCGGCGCAGCAGGAGGGAACGACATTGCAAGTCCAACGAAACTAAACCTCCCACGCCGACGATCGAAAATGCGGGTCGTCCAATCGCCAATACGGCCACGGATAAGAGTCATGGGCAGTTCTTACAAGCGCGAGACTGACCTCCTAATACTCGAAAACAGCATTTTGGAGGCACCAACGCTCGGAGCTCCACACCATTTCGGACGGTATCGCGGGTACTACGTTTGTGTTCGAAAACAGCATTGTGGACAGACCTACCGATAATTAGGAGACATTGTGCTATGGTATGTTGCATTATGGTCTACTATGTTATACTCTACCACTTGTGATGTGACGTACGTTAACATACTATACCGAATCATGTTGCATCGTGCTTAATGATATTCTTCCGCATTTAAATGCATTCTTGTGAATTGTGTAATTCTGTTTTGTTCTACAATATTCTGTTGTATTTTGCTACTGAATATCATTTTGCACTTTATCGTATCCTCACATCTCATCTCACAATGTGCTATTATGTTGTATTCTTATCAGATTGTAGTACATTGTATCATATCTTATATTGCTGCGGTAACTTCATTGTATTATGCCATACGATACTATATTGAAATGTATTGTACTTGGTTGCCATAACAAAAAAGCTGAAGTACGATGTGGTGAACTATGTTATATCGTATATTGTAGAAAACCGTACTAGGTCACGTCACATTACAGTATACCTTTGTGTGCTTTCAATTTTCTTGGATGTACAGTGTTTTGTTGTGATATGTTACAATTGAACAAGTTGTCACAGATTCGTAGCATGGAACAAATAGAAATATATATATATATATAGATATAGATATAGATATAGATATAGATATAGATATCTACATCGAGTACATGCCATATTCAACTATAACACCATACTGTCAAAAACCTTGATATATCCTAGACCCACGCGCACACACACACACACAAAGACGCATACAAAGAGAAAAATACACACACATGCATACGTATGTTCATTCATTCATTCATTCATTCATTCATTCACGCCTCTCTGAAGTGTTGGCTCCAAGGGCGAGCAGAGGGACCTTGCCCCGGGTGTGATTTGGGAAGCTGGCACTGCTGTCTCGCACCGATAACGGTATGCACGAGCACGGCCTCAAATGCCAAGACATACATACATCTATGGTCAGGCGTCTGGCGTTCCCAGCCCCCCCCCCCCCGAATGGTATGGTCTGACAGGGGTGGGGGGGGGGGCCTGGCGTGTGCGGAAAGGGGTTGGGGCCGTTGGAGCTGCGGATGGTGGGGTGGTGCTGGCGGCCAGGGCTCACACGCAAGCCCTTCGCAAGCAAGCCGTAAACCCTATGACGCAGCGCGTGCCCCGGTTTTGAGCAACCTTAACTTGTACTGAAACCGGAAAACCTTTTCTGAGCCAGGTTCTTTCTGGCCTTTTCGAACGTCGGAAAAGTTGCACTGAGGGTTACTGGGGTGTCCAGGCGTGGCTTTTGTCGAGGAGGGGGCTCCTTTCTGTTTCCGACCCTTCAACACGAATGTGCCACTGCGCACCGCGTCAGAACAATGTCGTGCATCTGCAATAACGTTTGCCTCCAAGAAGCTGTCAGTTTCAACGACGACAGAGTCTGAGTACGTTTTTCAGGAAAAAGCGTTGAATAGTGACGAAGATAAGTCGAAGCGACTTTTCGGGTGGGAGCAGGAGTAGTAAGAGTCTGGCTCAACGGCAACTTAAGAAGCCCTGTCGAAGACCTGTGTAGCGGCCAACTAGGATACTGGCAGCTCCCTCGAAGGACCAAAGGCTCATGTGGTAGCGGCAACTTAACCGCGTGACAACAATCCGTGGCTGAGCCATGCACAACTCTACAGTCAAAGTGTTTAAAGTTTACAGCCCAGTTACATCCACTCCGTCAGAAAGGAGAATAAACGGACAACATGGAGAGAGAAGCTGGAGGCTATAGAACGCGAAGCTGTGGCAGCATTGCGGTACAGTGATACGGTGAGCATGGCGAACCTTCCCGCCACCAGCGTCCACGACATTAAAGCTTTCCCAGCTGCCAAACCATGGAGCGCCATCCATGTCCTGCACTGTACACGGCCGAGTCTGCACTATTAAAACACGAAACAGCTTGTTCTTAACTTGGCAGAACACCCGAGACCCAAAAAAGCAGAGCGGTCGTGGTTGTTTCGTAGCCGGATCCATCTGTTCTCTCGAGGGTTGTGGAAGCCGACCTTCACGTGACCTTTCAGCGTGGGGTGCTGAGCTTCGCTGGAGCAACAGACAAGGTTCTCAACATACAAACTGAATCAAGTATTCACAGGAACCACGATACTGCTTTGGCTATTGATGCTGGCCCTGTTCTTTGCACGAGTACCAGTACTCGTAATGTGATGGATCTTGCAGTTCATGGGTATCGAAGATCCAAACATTCTTGAAGCATGACCAACCCCGATTTGCCACGTCTTGCCGAGAGAAGTGCTTTGCCCCGTTCAATCGAGGCTAATTAGCACAGAGTACGATCTAAGGGGTGGTGTTCCTTTGTGCTGAGGCCCAGAACTGCCCTCGAAGGAGATCCCGCGAGCTGGGGATCTCTCAGCAGAAGACACCTTTTGCTGAGGCCCCGGCAAGGATGTCGCATTCTTCTTCTGTGTGTTTGGCACTCATAGCCTTTCCGATGAACTCTGAAAAAGGTCGATGTCCAACCGCGTGGCAAATGGTCCTCAGGATCTCCGGCGCAACACACCGGCAGCAAAAAAAAAAAAAAACTCGCAAGAGCTCGCAAGAGTGCACAAAAAGGCTTGACACCACCCCCGACCCTCCCCCACTGACCATCGGCCGAGGCTCCCAATTTCTGTGAGGTGACCAAACCAGGTCACTTCCCCACCTAGCACACGATCCACAAACGGCTTATGTCTTCGGAAGTAGGACTGCCGCTGTGGCTTAGTTGGCCAGGGTCGGTTGGAGGCCTGGTTGCTGGTCTTGTGTACCGTCGTGGACCGAGCAACGACACTTCTTGCTCTCTTCAGAACATCTTGGGAAAGGGCCATGGCAGCATGCAGACACTTACCAAACACCTGAAATGTCCTGCGTAGCAAGGACTGCTAGTCCGAGCTTCTTGATTCAACACGCTTCGGCGGAAGTCTGTGTGCTTAGGCATGTGTGTGGGTGCGAACACGTGCGCGCTTGCATGCGTAACGACGTACATGCGTAGTACGTACTTGCATGCAAACGTACATACATATATGGTTGCAGTGAAACAGCCAGCTAGACGCCGAGAGGGAGCCAGCTAGACAGGCATGCAAAACGACAAGAACACAAGAAGATAGCAAGAAGAGACGGACAGATAGCGAAAAGCTGACATACTCAAGCGAATATGCCCGCAGCAAAACTGGCGAATTCCGGCAGAACACCGACAACGTGCTGATCTGCATGCACAGCCTTAGACGGCCTGACTATCAAACCACGTGGCCATTACAGCCTCGACTCTTCCACCTGGCAGCCCGGAAGCTCTTGTCTCGGCCGAGTAGCATGTTGACAAACCTGTTGTGATTATGTTGGTGGAGGGCCACTGTGGCACCCACCAGCAGGGACTGACAGGGCACATCAGGCACAGCTTAAGTCAAACCAGAACTCTCGCAACGCAGTAGCATGCAGCCTCGCCTCGCAGCGACCATGACGATGAACTTGGCCACCAACACAATGCCACCACATTCCGCCTTAGGTGCTGCACGATGTCACAGTAGCTCCAAGAGTGAAGATCATTCGGCTGAGACTTGAGTCTGACTTTGACCTGACACCTTCCAGTCCCAGCTGCTCTGCGAATCCGAGCCCAGGCTGGCGTTCAGGGTTGCATTGAGCGTCAGGTTGTTGCGACTCTCCTACGGAGCAGGTGGCCATGCGACCGACTTTCAACGCCGGCCTTGAGACAGACACCGGTTATGGAAGGCCCGCTCCGCCAACGCGAGGACCGTCGCAGGGGCAGACTGGGTACCGTGTACCTGAGAAGCAGAGAGAGCAGAGAGGATTGGCCGACGCCAGCTTGTCACCCTCTTGTGTGCAGCACGTCTCTGAAGCTTTGGATGGCACATCTCAGACTAAGCGAATTCAGTCAAGCATCCCAAGTTGTATTCAAGGCTCCAAAGCCAGATTGCTTCATGTCACCTGCAGCAGGCTGTGGCTTGAAGGCGCGAAGTTTATGCGGCGATTGCGGTCACAGGTCGACAAGTTGCTTGTGTTGTGTGAGCGCTGCAAGATCCGCTCAATCCGAGTTTTGTCAGCCTTCCCGCTCCCAAAAAATCTCGCTCTGAAGAGTTTATGATGACAGAAAGTCCGCGGCAGCAGCGAACGGGCGATCCACCCCAAACAACCTGTATCAGTTTGTTTATGAGTCATATTCTTAATCATCTCAGCATCTCTACTAGACGTGAGTCGGCGGGCATGCTGTATGTCAATGTAACAATGTAGTCACCCACTGGCACTGGTCGGACTGTTCAGCCTGAACCAACTTTTTCATGGCGAAATGGTCTCCCTATGGTCTCACTCCCTCTGCTCCGGAAATCCGAGCTAGATCTGCCGAGTCACCCTCTGTGTCGAGGGTGGTGTGCAGGAGAGTGTTGCGCTCCTCCAGAAGCACTCTACGACCCAAAGACAGAGACGATATGTCGCTGTCTCCCCTGTCTCACGGGTCGCAACGTCTGTAGCAGCCCATTTCACCAGGGACACTGTGCACGTCCCGACTATCCCCTTGCTCCGTCGCCAGCACGACCTCCGTAGGCCGGACCTGTAGCGAAGACTGTTGAGTGAAGGCTGGCTGCTCGGTGTACAGGTCACAAGATGGCTCGTGGGCAACTGAATTGGCGGATTTGCAGAACAAGTGCCTGGGGTAGAACAATGTATGTGTGTGTGTGTGTATGTACGTATGTATATATATATATATATATAAATGTACATATGTATATGGTGTATATATATATATACATACATACATACATACATACATAGATTTGTGTATATATATATATATATATATATATACATATAAATATACATACATACATACATACATACATATATATATATATATGAGAGTGCTACCTCTTGGGTCTATTTAGCTACTATGTTTTCTTTATTTATTTATATATATTGTAAATAATTGAAATAATTGAAATAATTCAAATATACGGTGCTGATTTCAATTATTTCAATTATTTGTGTGACCCAAACACTCGAAATAATTGAAATAATTGAAATCGGTCCCATTTCAATTATTTTAATTATTTCAATTATTTCAATTATTTCAATTAATTGAAATCCTATGGTTCTGTGGAAGGGTCACACGGACCATTAGGATTTCAATTATTTCAATTATTTCGATTATTTGGGTCACCCAAATAATTGAAATAATTGAAATAATTGAAATAATTGAAATCAATAGGTTGCCTAGTTCAACAGATGAACAACACGATTTCAATTAATTGAAATAATTGAAATAATTGAAATAGTTGAAATAATTGAAATCGGCCCTATTTCAATTATTTCAATTATTTCAATTATTTAGGTGACCCAAACAATTGAAATAATTGAAATGATTGAAATCGGGCCCATTTCAATTATTTCAATTATTTCAATTATTTCAATTATTTCAATTAATTCAAATCCTATGGTTCCGTGGAAGGGCCACACGGACCACAAGGATTTCAATTATTTCAATTATTTGAGTTGTGGGGCCAACTTAAATAGTTATAATAATTGAAATAATTGAAATCCATAGGTTTCCTAGATCAACCGATGAACCACACGATTTCAATTAATTGAAATAATTGAAATAATTGAAATAATTGAAATCGGCCCTATTTCAATTATTTCAATTATTTCAATTATTTAGGTGACCCAAACAATTGAAATACTTGAAATAATTGAAATCGGGCCCATTTCAATTATTTCAATTATTTCAATTATTTCAATTAATTGAAATCCTATGGTTCTGTGGAAAGGCCACACGGACCATTAGGATTTCAATTATTTCAATTATTTCGATTATTTGGGTCACCCAAATAATTGAAATAATTGAAATCAATAGGTTTACTAGGTCAGCGGATGAACCACACGATTTCAAATAATTGAAATAATTGAAATAATTGAAATAATTGAAATCGGCCCTGTTTCAATTATTTCAATTATTTCAATTATTTAGGTGACCTAAACAATTGAAATCATTGAAATAATTGAAATCGGCCCCATTTCAATTATTTCAATTATTTCAATTATTTCAATTATTTCAATTAATTGAAATCCTATGGTTCTGTGGAAGGGCCTCACGGACCACAAGGATTTCAATTATTTCAATTATTTGAGTTGTGGGCCACCATAAATAATTAAAATAATTGAAATAATTGAAATCAGTAGGTTTCCTATGTCAACCGATGAACCACACGATTTCAATTATTTCAATTAATTGAAATCCTATGGTTCTGTGGAAGGGCCTCACGGACCACAAGGATTTCAATTATTTCAATTATTTCAATTATTTAGGTGACCCAAACAATTGAAATAATTGAAATAATTGAAATCGGCCCGATTTCAATTATTTCAATTATTTCAATTAATTGAAATCCTATGGTTCTGTGGAAGGGCCTCACGGACCACAAGGATTTCAATTATTTCAATTATTTCAATTATTTAGGTGACCCAAACAATTGAAATAATTGAAATAATTGAAATCAGTAGGTTTCCTATGTCAACCGATGAACCACACGATTTCAATTAATTGAAATAATTGAAATAATTGAAATAATTGAAATCGGCTCGGCCCTATTTCAATTATTTCAATTATTTCAATTATTTAGGTGACCCAGACAATTGAAATAATTGAAATAATTGAAATCGGCCCCATTTCAATTATTTCAATTATTTCAATTATTTCAATTAATTGAAATCCTATGGTTCCGTGGAAGGGCCACACGGACCACAAGGATTTCAATTATTTCAATTATTTCAATTATTTCAATTATTTCAATTAATTGAAATGATGGGGTTCTGTCGATAGGGCCAGTGCCTCACCCCGTGCTCTCCCCCGCCCACCTGTATTCGCTTGCCCACCACCACTCCCCTGCGCCCCTCCACCTCCTTCCCCTTCGCCTCACCTGCCGGGGGGGCCCCCCCACCCCCCCACCCCCCCACCCACCGACCCCTTCCACCCACCGGCAGATGTGTGAAATCCTTAGCCTGTGTTTTCACTCGGTATTTGCAGGTGTTTTGCTCGACCACAGATCACTTCCGCCAGATTTTGCCAGCGATGTGTGAAATCCCTAGCCCTTGCTTTAACGCGGTATTTACAGGTGTTTTGCTCGACCACAGATCACTTCCGCCAGATTTTGCCAGCGATGTGTGAAATCCCTAGCCCTTGCTTTAACGCGGTATTTACAGGTGTTTTGCTTGACCACAGGTCACTTCCGCCAGATTTTGCCAGCGATGTGTGAAATCCCTAGCCCTTGCTTTAACGCGGTATTTACAGGTGGTTTGCTCGACCACAAATCACTTCCGCCAGATTTTGCCAGCGATGTGTGAAATCCCTGGCCCTTTGTTTAATGCGGTATTTACAGGCTTTTTGCTCGGCGGCGGATCATTTTGCCCGCAGATGTGTGGGATCCCTGGCCGTTTTTTGAACGCGGCATTTACAGGCTTTCTGCTCGGTCGCGGCGCGCAGGGATTATACACCCCTGCCGCCACTCCACCCTCCTGCCCCCTTCATACCTCACTACCCACCCCCCTATCTCAGCCCCTTGCCTCGTACCCCATCACCACCCACCACCCACCACCTATTATCCACCACCCGGCACCCCTCACCCGCCACGCCCACCACCCACACCCTCCCCCAACCACCACACACCACCCACCACACACCACCCACCACACCACCCATCACCCACCACCCACCACCCATCACTACCCAGCACCCGCCAGCCACCACTACCCACTACCCACCACCTACTCCTCCCATCATCGTTATCACCATCCTATTATCATTTATCATCGGTTTATCACTTTATCACCCACTCCCCCAAACCCACCCCTCACCACGCCAGCACAAACCCCCTGCCCATTCACATCCCTCCCCCACCCCACCCACTACCCCACCCCCACCACGAACCCATTAGGGTCCAACAGGGCTGCGGACACCCCACCCCCTCTCCATCATCTTCATCATCTTCATCATCTTCATCATCTGCATCATCTTCATCATCTTCATCATCTCCATCATCTCCATCATCTCCATCATCTTGATCATCTTCTTCATCGTCATCATCTTCGTTGCCGGTTTCATTGGTTTTAATACCGCTCCCTCTATTCTCAAAGGTAATTTCATAGGTATTGTACGAACCATAATACAATCGATTTATCTTAACTACTATATCAAGAATAGCTTACCACATCGCATCTACATACTTTGTAACCGGGCTTACTATAAAGGCCCCATATGAGGGATCCATAACGGGTTTCTAGAAAGTCTCTCTGTAAGGGATCTCTACATAGAGGATCTATAAGATTTCTATAAGCAATCTGTAAGGGTTTTCCAGAAGGGCTCCATACGAGGGATCTATACAGAGCTTCCATGTGGTTTATACAAAGGGTAAGGAATATATAGCAGTTGTCTATGAAAGCTCCATGTCAGGGATCTTGTAAAGTTTTCTACAAAGAACTCCATTTGTTGATCTATACGGGGTTTCTATAAGTTCTCTATATAAGGGATCTATAAAGTTTCTATACGAATCTATAAAAGCTGTCTATGAGGGCTCCATACAAGGGATCTGTGAAGGGATCTATAGGGATTTTTTCATGGGAACGTATACCTTCGATACGGATAATTGCGCCTTTGTTAAGATCGTGAAGACTATTAACTACGTGATATCCTTCTTGGCTAATGCTGTGATCACATCAGATCCGATATGTATAGAGATACATTGGAAGGCACATGGGAAAACAAACTGACACATTACAGGCCTTCTAATGTGTAAATATTCTTATTGAAACCCTAAAGGCAAGGAACTTATACACTGTAGGGCATCTGTATATTGGAAGGTTTCTGGGTAGTATAAACTGACGCATTACAGGCCCTCTAATGTGTCACTCCACTCCTTCCTATGGAACCTCTATTGCAATGGAACTTTTCCACTAGAAAACCCCTGGACATAATAAACTGACACACTGCAGGCCCTATAATGTGTCGCTCCACCTATCCTATTGAAACCATACTGATAAGAAATTGATACATCGGAAAGCACTTTTTATGGACATAACAAACTGGCACATTAAACCCACTATAATGTGTATCTTCACTTCCTGGGTCCTGGACTGGGCAAATTGACATATTACATGCCCTCTAATGTGTCACTTCATTTCTCGTACTGAAACCCTACTAACAAGGAACTTAGACACTGTCAGGCCCCTGTACCTGGGCATATCAAATTGACATATTACAGGCACCCTAATGTGTCACTCCACCCACTCCGATTGACCCTCTACCGACAAGGAACTTATACACTGGAAAGTCCAGGACATAACAGATTGGCACATTACATGCCCTGTAAAGTGTTACTCCACTTCCCCTGTTCAAACTCTATTGACTTGGGCATAACGAATTAACACATTACAAGCCCTCTAGTGTGTCACTTCATCCCTTCTATTGAAAGTATATTCACAAGGAAAATCCTACTTTGGAAGGCTCCTGGACACAGCGACCTGACACATTACAGCCTTATTTCAATCAATGAAATCGTTGGGTTCTGGGATTAGGCCACAAACCTCACCGATTTCAAATTCGGGCTCAATTCTTGCTAGCTTGCACCTTCAGCGTTAAACTCTAAAGCCCTAAGCCCCGGAGCCCATAGACCCAAGCATGAGTGAAGAGGGCACGTTACACGACAGTATCACGTCAAACATTTACATACCGTAATGATAGAGCACAATGCAGTATAATGTAAGATATTA